TGTATAGACTGCTGTTGGGTTTTAAAATGACACTCAGAAGTATGAGGTCTGAAACAGTTTATTTCATTAGTCACGTGCAGATGTTTATTACAGTAAAAAAAAATCACTTAAAATTACAGAAAACCTAAAAGAAAAATCCCAACCCCCACCAAAATACAACCCTAATGTATAAAATTAATGTTGAATAGGCTTTTATACTTGGTCTAGTTTTAAAGAAAGAGTAGAATGTGCCATTTGAGAAGAGTCCTGACCCAGGAAATGTCTGTGAGACACCTCCATTACTGCTTACCATCTTCTAATTTTATTACATGGAGACATCAGTGTTTGATAAGCAAAGCCAAAACCACACATCCTGAAGAATTTCCAGAGTACATTATTGGCAATGGCAGAGTGTAACAAAGAACAAAATTAGAGCAGAAAGTGACAATGCATTAACGATTAAAATTGCCAAATTTCTTTGATATAACAGAAGGATTTAAAGGGGTGTAAAGGTGCCATTATGCAAATCTGTATAGAGCACCTTCCTTGCACAAAAGGAGATGAATGGATTGATATCCACAGAAACAGTTTTTTTGTAATACAGGTGGTAGGCCCAAAGGTATTTTTGGCCAATGGACCAAAAATATTTATAAATAATAGATATTCATAGGCAGCTTGCCAGAGGGAGTAGAAATTCAGAGCCACTAAAAGATGCAGCTCTGATGCACTATCAAAACATTACTGAACAATAATTAGCAGTGATACCATAGCAACCCATCAGTGCAGATACAAGTTTCTTTTTCTTTGTAAACTGTACAAAAAGAATACTCCAGACAACAAGAGCCAAATTGTAAGGTGGTTCAATAGCTAAATAAAGGAAAGGAATGTTTATGAATGTGGCGTGGGCTACCACAACATGGAATGGGTAATGAAATCATTCACTTCTCTTTGCTTTGCCAGATCATAATTGTGTGGTTCTGTTTGACTTTCAAATTAGAGTTTTAGTGTACATAAGTGCCACTAGTGTTCCTTCTTTACTGACACACTTCACATCCTTACTACTGCAGAATCTGAGTTAGAGGTCAAGCTTGCAAACTGCAGAACGTTCAATAGTCAACATTATGAGTAAACACCAAAATTTACATGACAAGATACAATGAAACTGAAATAAGTTTCCTAGTATAGACCTGAAAAAGAGAGAGGAAAAGTAAAGGAAAGGAGACAACAAATATTTGAAAGAGCCGCAGAGGGTGAAAGGTTTAGAGGACAACCTAAAGTGTGGAGGGGCTTGGCATTGTCCGGTCCCATTTTCCTCCTGAATATGAACACAGACTTGTTTCAGGTAACAGAAGTCCAGTAGTAGTGCCACAGAGCTCCCAGGAATAATGGTGAGTATAGTGGCCATTCTACAAAAGCTCCTTGCAATCCACATAAAACCACCAAACCATAAAGAAGGGAGGAGTTATGCCATCAGCATAGGCCAGCCAAAACACATTTATGTGAATTAAAAGATAAATATTTTCTCCTACGTATACAACCTACCAGCATATACATTTATCAGACATCTTAACACCAACTCGGAAACACACGCAGAGTTCTTTAAATTTAAACAATGACGTTTGTCCTAGCCTGTTGGTCCTTGGAGTCTGAAAATATGTTTTATGTAACAAGTCAGTTGGGACTTTTGTTATTTCAAACAAGTTGGAGCACATGCCCCTTTACGGCAGACATGCTTCAGTTTTAGTTGACTTTTGCTATGTAACGGGATCACAGTATAAACTAAACTTGGCTTATTGATAATTTAGATTATGTATTATTTTTGGATAATTTGTCTTTAAAACTGCAGTCCTGCTGTTCTCTCAGTCTAGACCCCCTAATGGTCTGATAAACTGTACTTAGTTACCTTCGTTTTAGTTATTCCTAAATCCAATTTAAACTTGCCCTCCTCTTTGCATGAACTCTCACAAAGTTCAGTCAAAGCTCTTTATTACAATAACATTGGTATTCAGAGTCAATGGTTACATTATCATCTTACCAGGAATTCTGTTTTCTTAGAATTATTCTCACCTTTTAACAGTTTTGGCTATATCTGTTTTGTTATTATTTGAACATACTTTTATTATATCCAGTATAATAAATATGGTACTGTATGTTTTACATAACTGTTGAAATAGCTACAAGTATAAATAATTTATGATTTATGGACACAAAAGAGATTTCATGGGAGGCATTTAACTCTGCCCAAGTAACACCTTCAGCTAAGACTACACAGATATGCTCTTCAGAACATTTGCAAAGAAAATCTGAAAAGGGGCTGCAATGTCAAAAATGTAAGCAAAAATTTTCAGTGTCGTTTAAAACCTTTTTACTGAAAAAGCCAGTAAGTCATAATTTTTGCCTTTTCTGACTGTCCTCAAACCCATTTTCTGAAAGACCCTTTCAAGTTGTGAAGTTACTTCTTTGTAATTTTAAATGCTTTCTAAATTCCTGTTTTTTCCTGAAAACAGGAGAAATTTAAACTTCACAGGCTAAATACTGATTGAATGTTGTACAAAAAGAAGGTATTTAAATCAGAACAAGCAAGCCAATGCCACTATGACTTACTGTTCATTAGTAAAACCCCCATGAATCAACTGTAAAGAATTCAGTTCTACTTGCAGACTTCTTATAGATTTAGATCCTTGCCCTGTGCCTCCTCGGGCATACACCACTAAGTTATACTGAGAACCACTTGCCTTCAAGTCCAGAGTTTTTAAACACATAGAGGAAAGTATGGCATTATGAAAAATGACCGTCAGGATGGCATAAGGAGATAAAAAACTGGCTGTAGTTGGGTGCTTTGGTGAGCTGTAAGGCTGTGAAATTGCCACCCCATCATCACTGTGCCCTTTTAGTCTACAATGCCATTTTAATGAGTAACAGCAGCATCCTTCAAGCATTAACATCTTCATATGGACACTTGCTGGTTTGCCACAAGAAGGAAGGGCATATAAACATAAGCTTCAGTATTGTAGCCTATCAGAAATACAAACAGCAAATATTAAACAAATTCCTGAAGAAGATTAAGTCTCCAAAGAATGGAATTCAGACCAAGGAGGGGGCCAGGGAGCAGAGAAAAAGCTTTTCTTCCAGCAAGGAAACCTGAGTTACATCCAAGAAAATCACACCTCCTCTATCCACAGACTTCCAAGAAATCATTTACTTACCCCTGAGTTCACCTGCCTCTGGCATCACTCATAATCTGAATCACAATTCTGCCACACTATCTGTTCTTCTGTAGACAATTTAGTTTCCTAGAGGACTGGGATTACAGATCTGGAGCTGTCTACTGTGACCCTTGGGTGCCTTGCCAGAGTGCAAGGGGTAGTGAGGGGCCAGCAGGACAGAAGCCCCAGGAGCCAGCAGCTCCTCTGTGACCGACCTGGCCCACCCTCTTATGGTACAGGTGCTGCCACGTGCAGCACCAACTCAGTCGTAGTGAGTAAATGCACAGTCTGCCACTTGCTGCTACAGCCTGCAGTAACAGCGGGCAGTAATTACCACTTCATCTTATCAACGTAATGAATTTAAAAGTTTGAATGCCAAGATGCTATCACTGATGCATGGAGTCATTCATGCCTCGTAAAACTATTATGCTTGATGCTGAATGTACTGCATCCCACACACACGTTACTTGAAGGAGTGATATCATTAGTCACGATTTACTACACATGAACTACAGCGGTACTAAATCCAGCTACTACTAGTGATACCAGAATTACAGGGACTGCTATTAAGCCATTTGCTTTTAGTAGGTTGTTGTGGTTTCTTCCAAGTTTATGAAGGGTGGAGAGTAGTTTCAAAGCAATTCATAAAGCTTTTAAGAGAGAATATTCGTAAAGCTTTTTAAGAGAGAATTATGCAGAGGGACACTGTCTGATTTGCTCAACTAAACCCCTGTCACAGGCCCCTCCCATTATACTAAATTGCCATTTTGCAGCTGTTGCCATTAGAGCTGGTCCAAAATACTATCAGAAGTAAAGAGTGCTTTATACTGGGAAGAGGAGATCAGCACCAGAATACTAAACAATTATCTCTTCTGTATAAGCCACTCAAGCACTACTATGGCTGGTTTCAGGTTGTGAGGCAGAAGACTCAGCATAAGAGAAAGAATCAAGTGTTACAGGGTAGGGCTCAGAGCCTAAACAAAGTTTAAACTGAAGCAGATCAGTTCCCTTTTCAAATATTACCTGAGACCAAAACTAAGCACCATCTGTTCTCAATTATTAAACGCGTCCAATATTTCTACATTCTCAATTTGTGAATTCATGCTAATAAGAAACAGAATTCAGTCTTCTTCTGAAGCTCATTTGTTGTAAAACCAGAATAGCTGTACTATGCATGCTCCTGCCAGTATGGTAGACCTTTATACCACCCTATTTTCAACCAACAGAGGTTGTTCCTAAAGCCCTACAAACAACCAGTGGAATAACACCTCTTAATACAACACCAAGTAGCACGTTACATATTAAGCAGATGTTACATAAAAAGCACTCTTCTGCCACAAACCACCACTAACATTTCTCCTATCATTTTCTAGAATTATAATGCAATCTTCATAAAAAAAAAAAACAAAAACAAAACTCAGGAATATTTCTTTCAAACATTCTTCCAGCTCACCTTGTCAGAAATCAAAATGCTTTTTGTATCAGTAATAACTTCTGTGGTGACAGTGCACTGTTTAGCAGCTACAAAGGTTTTTATTGCATGGTTAATAAATAGAATATAAATAACAAGAAAAACAGTTTTTATTTGAGCAACTTCTCAACAGTAGCAAGAAAAATTAGGAAAATGAGCACAGAATTCATTTGCATTTACTACTAATGCTTTCCTTGAGTTTCCTTTGGAGATAGAGTTCCTCTTTCTTGTCTTCAAACTCTGAAGTATTTCTGACCAATTTGTTAGAATTTTAGTACAGGTAAACTCACAAGTATAAGTTAGCTCTCAGTTTAAAAATATAATGTAAAGTGCTCCTCTCAGAATTTGTTCTGCTTACTGAATGATTTTATTTGAGCATTTTGAAAAACAGTATGTTGTTGAGCAAACACAAGAATCAGATAAACAATATTTCGAACACCAGTACAAACTTCATTTACAAAACCTTTTCAGGACTCTTCTGAAAAAGGATCTTCAGCTGATAAAAATAAAATCTATTAATTACCCTGAAAACCAGACAAGTATTTCTCTTGAATGAAGTGGCCTGTATCCTTCTGCCCTCTGGTCATGAGGAAATGAGGGCATAAGACAAGGAGCACAGTGCCACACATAAAAAAAGTATGTGCTGTGACATATTTGTATCTTAAAGTTCCTAAAAATATTTTCATGGTAAGATTTAGTTCCTTCCTTGCTTTTCCATTCACCTATGAGAGCACATACATTGATAAGTAAATATGTGGCTATACAGATGCATATAAAAGAGCCTTTTAAAGGACCTGTCATAAATTTCAACTCCATCTTTTCAGTTCCAGGAACAGGTACATGCACCCACAGTTTCAACAAGACGCCCATGTGAAGGATGTCACTTCCGGAAGCGTTTGAACAGGGGGTGGATGTGTTTGTTAGAAGAAGCCTTGCTCCGTGAGGAGTGGTATTCCATGTAAACCGTGTCATCTGCTCCGGACATGGAGCTCATGGTGCCTGTACGACGGGACACCTGCAAGTACAAGCACAGGCATGTGCTTAGTGTGTGATCAGAGGTTTAAAAGTATTTTCATTGCATGTAACTTAAAAGATTTACTTAAAAATCTGTAACAACAGATCTGTTACCTTCTCCTCCAAATATGATGGAAAAGGACACAAAAAATTCCATGTCTAATTTCTTCTGAGTGCCCAACAAGTGAATTATTCCAATAGCTAAAGGCTAATGCAGATTAGAAAACGAATCCGTTCTTTAATGTTTCACAAAGATACCAGGCCAACAATGAGAACATTACATTTAAAACTGGATGGGAATAAAATGGCCCAGCTCTGTCCCACCTGTGGTCATCCTTTTCAAAGAATTCTTCATTACCTGAGCTGACTTTGAACCATATTCTCCAGCAACTACTTCCTCCTCAGCATCCAGGTCAGATGCTTGCAGGACTTTCTGGAGAAGCTGCTGTTGTTCTTCTTTGGTTGAAAATGAAAGTTCTTCTTCTTCCATGCCTGCCAGCTTTGTGATTACCTAAGAAACAGAGCACACTACAAGGTGAGTGCTCTTCCTCCTCACTGTTAGCTGTTTAAAACCAAGAGAAGTATGTCTGATTCCATATCCTGTTGGAACTGCCTTCAACTTTTATTAATGGTTGGAAAAACCTCACACTATAGATAGCACAGATACATATAAAATCTTGGTAAGTGATGTGCATATACATATACACATGTCTCTTGTTATATTCTATCTGGAAATGCAAAAGACAAATCTTTGGGGGAAAAAAAAAAAAAGGAAAAGAAGTAAAGCTCTGAGCAGAGCATGTCAGCTAAACACTGACCAAGAACCTGACCAAGCACATATAAAACACATATGTATTCAACTTAGTGCAAGGTTAGTGTCATACTGTAGGCTCTAGATTTGTCTAGTTTAAGAACCAGTATTTTATATTTAACAACAATAATCCACTAGCTCTGCAAAGACTTAGAATTTTAGCAAGAAACATTCAGGACAATGGGGAAAAACCTTAAAAATTGAGATTTTTAATTGAGATTAAAAATTCACAGCTGTTGTGAAACAGTGCAGTAACCTGCAACAGAGCATCAGCCACAGAGCAAAAGGACTCTTCCAGCCTTTGAGTACTTAAACACTTAGATTTGTTCTCCTTGGAATTCTCAGTACCTCATCTGGTAACTGTGGGCACAGGCACAGACCTACTGGCAATGCAGTGCCATGGGCTCCATCAGCTGACAAACCTCCTCTTCTGAAGAACTGAAAAGATCTCAAGCTTCTGTTATAAAACTTGGCAACAGGCAGCTTACTTAAACCAGAGGTATTTTGAAAATTTTACAAGAATTTTCACTGTAGTTAAATGCTTTTTGTAAGCGTATGTTTATAGGTAACAATCAGTTTTCCCACTTGACAAGGTTTTGAGAAAGACATTCTAAATTCAACCACTGATTATGCAGTGTTTTCCCTCCTCATCTTTTCTGCTTACCTCTTGAGTTAATAAAATTAGAAACTAATTAACTCATAGGTTCTAACCTCTGGGTCAGAACAGATCACAAAGACACTGTAAATAAAGCTTGAGGTAAAAGAAATCCATATGAGCTGCTAAGTACCATTTTTTAAAAATGGGGTAGGGAAACACTGGGACAAATAATCAGTGCTGTGGGCTGTTATTTGTGGGAATTTCTAGTTTGAAAAAGGATGCTTTCCTGAGAAAATATCCAAGCCTGAAGAATCCATTCATGGAAAGAATCAGTTCTACATGGCTAAAGGAACACTATGGTACTCCTTGTTTCTTTAGGAGGCTATGTGCTATGGTCATCCCAAAAATAAAGAAAAAGAAGTCACAAAAATCCATTTTAAATTGCATTTGCCTGTTTCCAGCTCTGGTTGCAAAACAGTGCTAGCATGATTCATAGAATGGAAAGAATTCCCACTGCATCATCTTTTAAGCTGTCCAACTGATGCTCTGTTTAAAAGTTACCCCAAATTCTTTAACATACAGAAGTCTTTTGCTACTGGTTTAAAATTTAGTATATCCTACATTTGGTCTCTAAATAAAAACACAATGCAATAGCAAAGGCAACCGGTTAGCTAACCAGAAAAAACCAGCTTGCAGTACACTCCAAGCAGTAAATTGTAATAAGGCTGATATTTAAGGAGCAAAGACAAGACACATGGATTTAGCAAAAACATATTACTCTAGTTCTCTTTGATGAAAGGCAGAGAATGAAGCTATTGAGAGATGACAAGAAGAAAATCCTAAACAAAAAGTGAAAACTGTTACCATTTTAAACTAGTAATGAATTTTTAGTTATTGAGGAACACAAATTCTGAAGGACATTAGCATTGAAATAATTACCTAAAGAAGAAGTAGAGTCTCCATATTTGTAATACTAAGAAGGCAGACATCTACTGAGAATGGCATACACATAGTTCATCCTTGCTTGGAATGAAGAAACACAATAGATGTTTTTTTGGAAGTTTCTTTCAGCCTTATTATTCTTTGATGCCAGCTATGACTAAGTTTGGCAAACAGAAGAAAATAGATATTCTAATGTTTTGTTTCTAATCTGCAAAAAAGAACATTCCAGTACTGGTCAGCAAAAATGTTGCTCCAGATACTAAGCTGGCCACTTGCACTGCTTTTGTCCCACATTACACCAAAGCTCCAAGGACTAAGAGCTCCTTCTTTGCAAAATGAGATCCCTCTATTTTAACCTCTTTCTTACTTCTAGAATCCAGGGCATTCAAATATAAGTAAAGGGATTGCTCTAATCTTCCTGGCTATAGCCACACAGATGCATCTGCTGTAATTAGTTGCAGCTTAGTACCGACCTACAACTTTGTTGAAACACAATCACTACAAAGGGAAACAAAGTTTTCACCTATAAAGACCAGGACACCTCTGTTTCTAAAGAGCAATTTAATGGGCTGCTCTAACAGAGCAGGGATTTGCTCCAGTCCAGCAGTTCAGGGGGATGTCCCGTACTGGTGCCTCATACAGACAAGCTCTTGCACAGCCAGATGTGGGAGCCTTATTTTTCATTCTCCCCAGTACTGCTTCTTGTTGGGAAGGCATCTAATCAGAGCAGTAAGCTCCAGCTTTTTGAAAGAATAATTTACCTAAACCCAAGAGCTATCATGATACTCTGCTGCCTTTACAGCCTAACAGATGAGCATACAGGGAAATCCATGCATTAAAAATGTATAATATGGAGGAGCTCTGGTTATGTTTAGAAGACGATGACATAGTGAAATACTGGTCTAAAACTGGAGCTCTTTGGAAATTGTCACTTCCTAAGTTTTGGAAGTTGTCTAAATTGCTGCTGCCCACTCTGACAACACCCAACACTGCTTTATGCAACACCAGTGTGATATAATGGGAGGCCTGCACAGATGGACAACTGAAGAGCACAAACATAAAACAATCAGGAAGGAACATGCACTGCACCCTGCAGGGTGCCTGGTTTGAAGTTACAACAATTATCTTTCTAGAAGCTGTACAAAAAGCTACTTGTATCTGCCCTCACAATAATATAGATGGTAAAACAACACTGGAGCAGTTCTCACTTGCAAGAAAAACCTTCATTAATGCATTCCACAACCAGAATTCTCAAGTACTGGACCAAATGCTAACATTAAACAATATGAAAACTACATTCCTAGGCCTCAAGCATAATAAATAGAAGGGACGAGTTACCTTGAAGCTATAACCTTGATCTACGAGAAACCGTTGCCGTTTTGTTGAATATGCCATTTCCTGAGTGTCTTGGGATACAAGGGAATAAAAAAAGGCATTGTATTCCTCTGCCACCATGCCTAGGAGACAAAAGTACTCAGTGATCAGTTTCATTTGGAACACTGCAACAAAGAACAACCAAGGAATAAATACTGAAAACAGGTACTTAAGTAACTTGTCCCCACAGAAACTATTTGCATTGTTTAGCTGCACCCAGACCTTGCATAAACTGCTTGACACAGCATGGAAACTCCTACTTTGTTCTTAATAACTTCAGGATAGGTGACAAGACGAAAACAGAAAAGGAAATGTAGACTAACACAATCACACAGGTGCTCTAAGAAGAATCTGCTGCTTTTTTCTACTAGGCAAGGTGAAAGTTAAATTTTAAGTCTATTACGTCAAGAAGAAGTGAAATGTCAAAAGCAGCGCATGTCAAAAAAGTTCAACAGAAAAAGCAAAGGAAATGTTACCCATGTGAACTAGAGTTTGCAGTGGTTTTGAATTAAAAAAGTGAAACAAAGATACTTAGCTAAGAATTCATAGCACTATCTGAAGACCAGCATATACCAGGCTGTGTAAAATTTTTTTTTTTTACATTTATGTCCTTTTTTACATTTTACTTCCTTAAAGTCTGTTACTCTGGTAATAGGGTTCTCTTTTAAAACCCAGGGTTTCACTAAGACTTTGTCAGTTCACTAACATGGGTTTTGTTTGCATTTTCTAGCAAAGCCTTACCTGTAAAAAGCACAAACTGCACATAAACTAAGTGTGCAGAGCTTAAGTCTGAGTAGAAAGTCTTTTAATAGTAATTGTTCTAAACAAAAAAGAAATTCCTTTGCCCATGTTTTACAAAAACACACTAGTCAAAAAACAAATCCAATTTTTAAAAGCAAGTAATCTACAGTATCAAAAATGTGATTTCTAGAGGCTTGCTTCTTAGAATATTATGATTCCTCACAAACAATTTGAAGTTGAAGAAAACATCAAGAATGAAAAAGTAAGAGAACCGCCAAATAACAGAAAGTCAGATTTCTTTCAGCTTTTTTTGTCCTTTAGAAATTTTCTCATCACTAAGTTTACTGACCCAGAAAATGCTTCATTTTCATTCACAGGTATATTCTCTTTGACTAAAACATAATGCAAGGACAGTATAAAGAAACCTCATGAACATCTAGTTTCTCCTGCTCTAGGGTGCTGTGATCCAAGGCCCAGAGCCCAACCACCACCTCCTTTACCTTTTTTGGCTCTCAGCACTCGTCCCAGTCTTTGAGCCTCCTGCCTTCGTGACCCACCATGGGATGAGATCTGAATGAGAACATTGGCTTCCGGCAGATCGAAGGATGTGTCCCCTACCTGCAACACAGCAGCAGCCTGTCAGCAGTCCCTTATTTCCACATTTCCCTAGCCAACACTAGATGAAAAGGACAGCCTTCTTTGTGAGCTATGATACAAAGATGTCAAATCACACCACACTTGTGCAGCTGACTCTTAAAGTTCAGGCACAAGGATACAGTGCATGTGCTCTCTCACCTTGGAGATGAAAATAGTGTTGATTTTTGGATTGTGCTTGAAGTTTTGTAGAATTTGCATTCTTTCGCCTTGTGCAGTAGGACCATAGATATAGGGTCTGAAAAGAACACAACATATACAAATGAAATAAATTCAACATTTCTCATGCATTTCTTATGAGGTACCATAACAGGGAGGGCAAGACACATTTGAGCAGATATGAAAACAAACCAGATTTTGGTACGGATTTCAGTTTACTTTTAGCTTGTTTGGCTCCTCATGGCAGCTGCCCAGGGGTTTGTGGAACCCTCTGCAGCAACCCAGTCAGCCAGAAAGAAATTCTGACAGTTACAAATGTTTTGCAATTATGTGCACCAACGAAGCTGTATATCAACAGACTGAATATATTTGCTAAGCCCACATGAAAGACTGAAGGCAGCTGTTAAAGAGATTTTTTTCCTCAAATGTACTGAGTTAGCACATTTACAGCTGCAACCTTTGCTTCCTATTTAAACACTTGAAAATACAGGCTTCTCTCTCAAGGATATACTGGGTGTCACAAACGGGCTGCTGGGTGTTTTTCTGGGAAAATTTTTTTTGCTTTGAAAGCTAACCTCTTGCCCCTTCTAATACCTTCTGGGCCTACTGAAATAAGAAAAAGGCCTCAAACATTTAATGAGCACCTCACACTGGCATTCCACGTATGATGTCTAATGTTTGACAATGAATTACATGGAACATTTAATGTCTCAATCCCAAAGGCTCAAACAAACTCTCAGTCAACTCACAGACTTCATGAGTAATTTGGACTGCTATGAAGTTTCCAGTGTCTGGCTGTTTTATTTCTGCCTAAGCAGAGTTAAAAAAACCATAAAGCTAAAAAGAGCAAAGACCCAGCAAAAACAGTGAGCTGCATGCAGGACAGCACTGCTGGCTGCTTTGCCATCTGTTGCACTACTTTTCCAAATGCTGGTTACCAAGCATCTCCAAACAAATGGAGTTAAGTTTTCCAATTACTCTTTTGTTCACATTTCCACAAATTATTTCTAACACAAAGAACCAAGCTGAAATTTTCTACTTAGTATTGCACATACATGAGTGGTAGCTGAAAATAAACACAGCAGTGCACAGGACTGAGTTTTTCTATTCTTACCAACTAATCCCTGTGCACTGGCTCCTCTTGCTTTCTTTATTACAAACTTTATCCTAGGGTTTTTTAGCAAACAATCTTAGTCTTCTCTAATCTAATTCTTCTATACAGTCTGTTTAAGCAGACTTTTAGAAAAAAAACAGCTAAAAAATGAAAGTGGCAAATGAGTCAACTCTGAAAAAATACCTTCATTATTCAAATAGTAGCATTCAGTAATATCTTGAAGTCTTATTCTAAATTTCATGTAGTATTTAAATTGTGAAGTTAAATGGCAGATTTAACTGAAACTAAAGCATTTTTGAGGGATTAAGAACACCAAGAAAGCATTCAAACACATTTTGTGTTAAAAACAGAATAATCCTGAAGCCCTGGCTATCAATCCCTCAATTTAACTTGCCCAGATCCTACCTGACAGTGATTCACTGGCATTCCTGAATACTTTGCTGAATCTAGAACATTAAGTGCTAACTGGGTTATTTTTTAATGATTCATTTTCCTCCCTGCAAAAAGACATTTGAGGGATTTGCAGATAGATTCCTCTCCCATTAACTGACAAAACCAAAGAGGCATGGTCTTTCAGAAACAGTGATTTAAACATATTCCTAACACCAGTAAAGTCAGTCAGTACATGAGCTATGCTATACTGGATGACAGACTCATGACAGAGGGAAAGCTGGCCAACCAAATTTGGATTCTCTGGCCCCAAAAATTGCATTCAAAGTAATTCCTGTCATGTGCATGGTCTTGCATGGTCTTTCTCTGCTATTTCCCCACTACCAAGGGCAAGGGGGTTAAGGGAGGAGTCAGCAGAGGCAGCCGGACTGTGGCCACCTCTCCCACCATGTGGGAGCCCACCCAGCCCGAATGCTTCCGTCAGGCCATGAGAAGGGCAGTGAGAGCTGTGCTCCTGCTGGGCACACAGCCACAGCACTCCTGCTGCACCCACTGGGCTGCTCTCTCCTTCACACACAGAATTCCTGCCCTGTACAAACTAACAGCTCCCTTTGGTTTAGCCTGCTCACAGCAAACTATACAAAACTCTGATTAAAACAAAGGCTCCCTCACCTTCGTCCAGCACTGCAAGCCTCCTTTCCTTCTAGGACTGACAACCTGGAGCTCCATAAATGATGTGAGAAACACAGAATTCACTCCAGAATATAAAAAGGGGTCACCTACTATTGTAATTTTCCTGCCACGCTTCCACAGCACATACCCCACTTACATCTGCTGTGCTCCATAGCATTCCCCCCGCCCAGCACTGCCAGTGCTAAAGGCTTTGTCTATGGTGCACTGAACACTGCTAGAGACATTCCAGAGGCATCATTACAGCTAATCTCTGTCCAGACAGATTAAAAAAATGATGAAAGAGACCATGGGTGTTGGAATTTATCCAGCACCATTAGCACTGCTTGCTATTTGATGTCACAGCATGCCAGCACAACACAGTCCCTTAAACTGCAGCCAGAACTGATCGTGAATTTTGGAAAGTGTAAGGCTTGTTTGTGGTTTTGCTAAGGAGTACTGCTGAAATTCCTAGACATGCAATCATACACCATCAAAATGCCCCACAGCTTCTAGCAAGCAAGGCTGCACATTATTTGTGCTTGTCAAATAAAGTATGAGGCCAGCTTATATGGTTATATTTCCCAATAATCGCTCCTTGCCTGATCCTGACCAACTCTCCCTGACCATCTCTCCCCAAATCCTACCAACAGACTGATGCTGACCCCTCATTAAACCTTGTTTGCACAACCTTCTGTAACTGCACTCATGTTACAGTCATTTAAGGTAACCAAGGAGCTCTAGGGAGAAACGTCCTTTAGTTTATTAAACAATTACTGCAGTTCTAGGTAGTGCACTTGTACAGCACAGATCCCAAAAAAGCTTGTCTTAGTTTTTTTAGACAAGGGTAAGACCTCTTGGGAACCTGAAGAGGAAGACCCTGAGTCTCAGAACATCTTGAAAGATCCAGAGATTATATATCTGAAAACTTTTGTCTCAGAGAGACAGGGGAAGCTACCATTCTTTAAAGAAACAGTTCTAGTGATATTTCTAAAAGTCTCTCATTTTTCCACTGGCTTTTACTAATTAAAATAAAATAAAAATACTAAATCTTTCACAGAAACCCTGGATGTAAACTTTTCTGAAACAAAAGTGAAACAGAAACAAAAATACCTTCCTAAGCTTTTTATACAGGAGAACTGGAGTTACAGCATTATAGAAAATATTAAAGATTACTGAAAGCAGTGAGGTTGCAAGGAAATTGTCATGGAAGGAAGAAAACAACAGTGCCATCATTCATTGTGAACACTTACTTCCCAAGTCTGACTGCATATTCCTTCAGTGCAAACACATTGTCAGCAAAGACGATGATTTTATCATTCCGTCGCTCATGAAACTTAATCAGAAACTGACAGGCTCTGAATTTATTTGGGTTCATGGTGTAGAGCAGTATCCTCTTCTTGGTTTTAATTGCTACATATTCTCTGTAAAATTCAGGTGACATTGGGCACCAGACCTACAATCAGAAAACACACACACAAACAAAATAGCACTCTGTTATTTACTGATTTAATTCCAGTGGGAATTGAAAAAATACTGGGGGACGGTAATGCATTAGGACTTTCTGTCTAGTGCAGGTCACAGATTTTAACGCAGTCATCTCTGTACCAAAATCAAAGCTACCAGTCAGTGAAGTCTCCTGCACGCTATAATCTGTTTTTCCAAAATGCTTCGGCACTGAGATCTGTGGCAGAAATAGGCAGTGGGACTGGAACAAGACTGAAAGATAGTTATTTTTTAATCACTCTTTAAAAATTTACTGAATGCTACTACTTCTTACAAAGCAGTAATTAAGGGAATGAACTTGTCTCTGTAGTCTCCCTTTCACAGTAGTCAAAGCTTTTCCCATGAAGACTAATTTTCATCCATATTCTGAAAGCTGAGACGTATTTTGGGTGTCTTTCTTGTGTGACCCATCTTTCTTCATATATCCACAAAGGAGTGACCTTTATTTTAACAGCTATTGAGTCTAGAACTTCCAAAACACTAGGATTGATTGGAAGTTTGCAACAGACAATAACATCACCTCAGGATACCTAAGCAATTCTTCTATTTCGTAAATAACAACCACAGTACTCCAGTAAGTCTAGGCTTATTTTTTCTACTGTAGCATGAAAAAAGAAAAGATGATGAAGTTTAAGCCAACGAAGTGACAGTATTGATAACATCTGACACTATCCATAGGGCATATAATTTAGGAAACATTCACTCTGCTATACATGGGTTATTCCCTCATATCCATTGCACAATGGAGATTAACAGACTACCACCTCTTTCATAACCACCATTCAGCTAAGGAAGTTAATGACAATTTACAGGCATTTATTTAAACAACATGAATAGTTCTGTACTGATAAGACCTAATTTTTTGTTTCAAAATATTTTTTCCAGTGAGTTAAATGCCAGATGATGCTTTTATTATCCTTTGGCTACATTAAAAATAAACTCATGCACTGAATAGGCTCTGTTGTTATTGTGTATTGTCCACATGAAAGACTTAAAACTCTTGAACCAGAAGACAATTACATCAAAGTGACAATGAGATACAAATACTGAATATTTGACTGCAGTAAAAGATTTCATCTATTGCTCAATTCCTGTGACTACACAGAAAACACAAGTATTTTGTATCTGCAGGATCAGGAAATGAGTAAGATCTACTTCTTACTCCAATGATTTTGCAAACAGGCACTCCAAAAACTTAGTATGGCTGCGAGGAAAAGGGATTATTTGTAAATTACAAAACTCTGAAAGAACAGGTAGAGAACAGGCTTGTTGTCTTTTTTTAAACTTTGCATAACTTTTTAGACTGTGCTGCTCATTCTCTTTTAGAGCAGTGAAAGAGCAACACCTGCAATAACCATGATCTGCCCTATGAGACATCAGCACTGCCCTCTCCAGCCACCTGGGAAGAACTGCACCTACAGAGTGAGCCAGACACCTTTCCTGGCTGAGGGCAATAACCAAATTGATTAATGATGCTACTCCTCAAGGAAATCCAAACAAATATGCAAAGCACTTGTGCACGTATTGGACTCAACACTGGGCTTCTTTATTCTTTGCTTTTGGTAGAGTCGTCGTATGTTAGTTTGAAACATTGGCCTAAGGAATAGAAACCTGCAGAATTTCCCCATCATTCAGAACAAAAGGTTCCCATGCTTCCTTTTTCAATGACTAAAGGGCAGTTCAAGGACTGAGAATTTTGCTTGCACAGCAGAACTAACTGAAGTGCCTAAATGCAAATCTGAATTTGAGGACTGGTTACTCTAGGTGTCTTTCACTTGCATTCTATGAGTTCAAAACAGTGGGTTTTTTTCCTTATACAACCTTCAGTTTGCACAGTGTTCAAAAGGAGAACAGTTGACTGCATCTGCATCTTTTATTCCAGTACCACAACTAGGGAGAATTGCATGAAATTAGCAAGACAGGTTTAAAATAAACCACCACAACAATAACAACAACAAAAAGACAAAAATAAACCAAACAAATCCCAAACCAGCAAACAAAGACTGAAAATCACCACAAACAATGGAGGAAAAAACACCAAGAAACCAAACAGGCAAGAAACCTTTGTAGAACTCTACAGAGTTCTACACATTGCAGCTGCTAAAATTTTACTTCCATTCAACGGGAGACCAGTTAAATCCATGAAAAAGCAGCCCTCTAATGGTTACGCTGAAACCTTATAAATAACACAGAGCTTGGAGAAAGTTATACTCTTCCCCAAGTACCTTCCATGTCAATTATCAGAGACAATACATTGAACTAGGCTTTCCAGAAGGATTACTTTAACATTCTAATGTGCCTATGTGAAAGATTTTTACTTCTTTTGATACCAGATTAATCTCTAATCCATATGCTGGAAAGACCAGAGGTAACACCTTTATACTGGAAAAAATGGTGAGATCCAATCCCACGTTTTCAAATTTCACCCAATTCTGTTTAGGCTTGGAATATGCAGGTGTTTTCTTATGTTCTTTAAAATTTCTACTATCCTTCTTTGTTATAAAGAGCTGCAAGTATTTTTCTCAACTTTATAAGCATACTAAATAAACACTAATAATACCAAAAAGCAGAGCATCACCTCAGCACACTGGACTTTAGCAATGTAGCCACTGTTCTGCAGCTCCATCCAGTTGGCTTCATAGAGCTTTGGTCCAATCAGGAAGTTCAGGTCAACAATTTTATCATCTTCTCTGACCAGGGTAGCAGTCAGCCCCAGTTTACAGTGAGCTTGTACAATAGTGAGCACACGTCTGAACATTTTTGCTAAGAAATCCAAGACAAATTTTTTGTTAACTTTCCTGAGTGGTTTTAGAAGATAAATACTGCAATTTTAAAAAACATTTTCATCAACTCCTGAACATAAGGTAAGCACAGCATTGGGAAATAGTACCCCTTTACACACACACTCCTCACAAATCTGTGTTACAGCAAAATTTCACAGTTATTGCAGTTTTACTTTGCATTGTCAAGTGTACTCTGAAAATCCCAGTAAACCTTCTGGCATCTTTATTTCCCATTCCCCAGGAGAAAATTAATATATTCAGAGGTTACACGGCTTGGTTTGGGTCTCTATTATTTCTTAGCAAGAACTATGACACAAGGACTCTTGGCTGACTGCCACATTCAGGACTTTCAGGATATGGTAGAATTATTCATCTTTAGTACTGCCAGAGATCACACAGGAGCTGCTATACCTTCATTGCTATGAAGCCAAGCAAGAACAAAAGTGACAGAACAGTGCCAGCACTATGCTACTTTGATAAAAAGACAATTAATCACCAAGGTCTACTTCTGAAATCCATTACTTCAGTAGACACCAAAATATATTCAAATAAGAATAAGGAAGAATAGCTAACAGGATCTTGGGTGGGTTTTTTTTAGCCAGGATTATTCCACAGACACTTTAATACTACATTATTGCTTTCCAGTAGTACAGATCTCAATTACATGGCAATTTCAAAGACAACAGTTATTTCTGTGTTAATCACTATGGTTACTCATGGAAATTAAAAGCTGGCCTGCAGTGCCATTGCATCGAAGAGAATAAGGCAGATGAATTATTCTCCTGTTCAAATATGTCTACAGCAAAATTATGCAAATGTAATTCAGGTATTTTAAGAGCATTTTATCAACGTACACAGAGGAACTTGTACTTTTCACTGCTATTACAGAAAACACAGTGTCTAATTTGAAGGGTTTCAGAAAACTAGTGGTCAGTTAAACTATGTAGTACCATGAGGAAAAAAAGAAAAAAAAAAAGGTAGAACAAGGCAGTTTGCTTGTCTCAAAACCCTGAGCCATGGATTTACTCACTAATTAATTGTTAGAAGAACAGCAAAAAACCACCACTTCTACAAGAGCAGAAGGCCATCAACAATGTGTGCAACACAGAAGGTTTGCACATCTTTTCCTTACCAGGGATAGTATGGACTTCATCCAGTATCATAAGGCCCCACTCTTGACTTTTAAGCCACTCCATTACTCGTTCTGCTTCCCAAGACCTTTTTGTCGTGTGCCCCAACATGGAGTATGTGCTGATGGCAACAGAACAGCCAATGGGCTTGTCTTTGGCATCAGATGTGAAGCGACAGATCTGGCTGTCATCGATGGTGGACCACATCTTGAACTGGGCCTTCCACTGCTCCACAGACACGGCGGAATTCCCGAGCACCAGGCACCGCTTGCGCACAGTGCATGCAGCTGTCACTCCCACCAGAGACTTGCCAGCACCTGCAGGGCAGGAGGAGTGACACTCATTAGTCTCTCAGACACCACAGGAGTAGGAGGAAAACAAAACAAAAGAGCAAAGGAAAACCATGAGAGGATATGAATTCATGCAAAGGCAAATTTCTTTGCTTACAGGTGGCTACAGAAAGCATTCCCTAAGGGTGCTCTATTCCTCTGTCTCTGTCAGTGATCACACTCCCCCAAAAAGCAAGTCCTTAAATCTTCCCATCCTTCACACTCCTCCCAGCACCCCTTACACACACTCAGGCCCTCATGACATGTCCTATGCACTGCCTCCTCCCCCAGTACTGGTACTGGCACAGAGTCTCCTGTTTGCTTCTTTTTCCCCTGTTTTCTGTAGGCTCAGTCAGCATGTTTCTCATTTCTTCCTCAAAGTCCCCTGCCCAGCACTTGTGCACACAAGCTCTTTCCTTCCTTGGATGCCCCTTTATGCCACCTCTGTATTCCCAGCTCCCCCCAGTTTCCCTACTCCCTATCAAGGAACAAATTCCAATGCCAACAGCTTTACATTTCCCAGGAAGATGAGCAGAGGTGGCAGAGGGCACAGTGGAAGCACTGGCAGTGTGAAGGTGCCACAGTCATCTTTGGAATTCTCTTACTACAAGCAAATAAAGAACAAATTGTCTAAGTACAACACAGAAACTTACCACATGGCAAGACAATAACTCCAGACCTGGCTCGTCCATTCCCAAACATCTTTCTTAGGCTTTTCTCTTGATAGGGTCTGAGAACTGCAGTAGGTTTCAAATCTATATTAATATCAGGATTCACAGAATCATTTCTGAAATCATATTCTGCCAGTAAGGGGTACTCCAAATGGATACAACGCTTCTGAAGTTCTTCAATCATCTCCTGAAGAGGAAACAGAACTTCAGCTGATAAAGCCTCCACAAGAATTAATTTATTTTTCCCTAAAAACAACTAGGTTACATAGTACCAAGTGAAGTTACATTTATTTTTGATGATTATGAAGTCTACAAGAGCTAAGGTTTATTCCGGAAACTTTACCTGTGACTGCCCCCTAAAACTGTCATTTTGAACGACAGTTAATATTAGAGAGGGCTCTTTAGGCAGGTGGAAGAACACGACACATTCAGCTCAGATTGCTGCTTACCTGGCAATGATTAAACTATACCCTGAAATTCTGCAATGAAGAGTTCAGTAACAGACACAAAAGGTTCTCCATGTTACACAAAGCTGCACAACTGTTACCCTGAAAACCTCCATACCCTGTATGGAAGTTATTCTAAGACAACGATGGTCTGAATCAGCCACCAAGAGGTTGTTGGTTTGAGCTGGCTTTTTTCAAATAAACAAAACAGCTACTAAGTTATCCTTCTCTAAATTCCTTTTGCCCCCACTAAGGCAACATTAGAATCACCAAGTCCAAAAACAACTCAAGAAGGTCTACAGAGGCTCTCTGAAGGTCAAGCAAGGACTGTGCTCCAACCTCCAGCTCCCCTTCTCAAGTGATGAAATTGGAACCACCAAGAAAGATTTCCTTCTGCAACCATGAATTACAAAACAAAAGCAGGAGGGGAAAAAAAAAAGCTCTCTGAAAGCAGCCCTCCACTGAATTCTAGTCTTGCAGTAAGTAATACTCAGCCACACGTGATGGGAACCTCTCTGAGTCCCTGGAGCCTCTCTGGCCTGTGAGCACTGCACTCTGCAGGCTGGGAAGGAACAACATCTAGACTGCCACCCTCTAAGATTCTAAACTTTGCAAGGTCAAAGCAAAGAAATGTTAATGACTTCCAATGATCTCCTCTACCAAACAAGGAGCTACAGTACTTTCTAACAAATTCTCATGCTTCTGTGCAGTATTCATACCTGCTTGACTTCAAAAGACACTGTCTGCGTTTCCTCCTCCTCCTCCTCATCTTTGTCCATCTGTTCATAAAACTCAAATAAGTCAGCTGGGACGTCTGGCTTATTCTGAGCATCTGTTCCCTGTGAAGTTGATGGACCAAGGCCAGCTTCACTGGATTTAGAAATCTGAAATAGAGGAACATGAATTTTCACCAAAGGTTTCATTAGAGATGGCTCCTGTCTTCCCCCCAAATTTGGGCTCATTAAAGAGACAGAGTTTGTTGCTGGCAGAATGAAGCTGATACAACAAACAAACAATAGCAACTCCAATCACTGCAGTAATTTTAGAATATGGCTGGACATACCGCTGATTTACTTGTGAATGTCTCCGTAATGAGCTCTGTCTCTTCACCTTCAGCATTTCTCAGACGACATTCTTTAATTACATGGTCTTGCAGAAGCTGCTGAATGACATCAGGGTGGGTGCTTTCCACAAAATACCTAAAGTTAAAGACATTTTTATGAACTCATTAACTGAGTTATTCACAGGAAGAGCTGCATAGAGGATTAAATGCATAGCTGTCCCAGGTGCACTCTCAAACATCCAATCCTGGGGTACTAATTTAAAAATAAAGACATGCCAACCAAAAACTTTTAAAAGATGCCTCACACCAAAAACATCATGTACTGTGCAGTCATCCCTCCATCTTTCTCAAATGTTCTCTAACCTGAGTGGCAAACTCCAGCAGAAATACCTACACAGACCTCTGACATATATGTCTTATTTGTGACACGCAAGTGAAGTTAATTGTTTTGAGACTGAACTGAGGTGAGTTTGAGAGAACACCAGATATGGTGTTTTCAAGTCCTGTCCACAGCACCAGAAAAGTCCAAAAGACAAACCCCCAAACTTCCAAAACAAAAACCACCTAAAAATCTAAAACTAATGCATCCTGGAGATTCCTCAATGAAGATGCTGGTTGGAGATCACAGTTAAAATATGTGCTGACCTCTCCAGGCCCCTTCCAGCATTATCCTCTTGCTTTAAAACAAATCAGATTCAACACAAACACAAGCACCCACCTCTTGCCATTGGATTTGCTTATCTTTCCCAAATGATTTGATAACCTCAAAGATATATTGCAAGTCCAAACAATAAAGAAACAAGCTACAATATAAAATCTGCAACCTACTTTTAAAAATGTGATGACAACCAGCACTAACTCATGATAACCGAACACAATTCATCAGCTGATGTATTAAATACTTCCAAAAGCTGTAAAAGTGATACCTGAGATCTGTTACACTCAGCTGGCAGCTGTGAGACTCCAGAGCTCCTGAGAGCACTCACTCAGGCACAGGTGTGCATTTGGAGGGCTTCCTGCCACAAGAGCTAAGGAAGAAGCCACTTACCTGTTATGTTTCAGAACCAACTTCACCTTCCCATAGCTGACGGTGCACAGCTACAAAGAGAGCAGTCATTAGTAACATGCAAAAGAGAGATTCTAGGTTTAGGACCAAACACTGCAATGGCTTTAGCTCTTTGTGGGGAAGCACCTTACCACAAAGAAGGACCTTACCACTGCTGTTATGCTCATGGGACAAACTTGAAAATGTATTTTCAGAAGATGCTCACATCATTTCATGCAGGAGATCAGGCACAGATACTCACTTTTTATATCTAATTTCAAACTGTTTGCAAGACTGTGAGAACACATTTGCAGGATAAGACAGGGTGTCTTACAGTGCCTTACTATTACAGACTGCTTCCCACAGTCTTATTTTTCCTTCAGAGCACATCTGAGGAAACTCTCCCCATGTACAAGTCATACCAGCTGAAATTATCTAGATAGCCACTGAAATGTGCTTTTTATAAATCCCACAAAGGATATAAAATGAAAATAGTATGTGTGCAGCAATGTCATATGCAAAAAGACAGAAAAAAAAAAAATAACGTTCTCTTGAAACAATGACAGAAGAATAAGACAGATAAAAGTGATGAATGATTAAAAAATAAATCAATTAGGCAGAGGCAGCAGGAAAGGAATTCCTTAGTAGAAACAGGTGTATTCTCAATGCCAGCAAAATAGCCTTACCTTGATAAACTGAATTATTCCATCTGGGACACCAGTCTTGCTGAGTTTCTGCAAATACTCGGTGATGTCACTTGTCTGTAAGCCCACACTCACAGCAGCATATAGGGAGTAAGCAGTCAGCTTGTACTCGTGAATATGAGTGGGTCTGCACACAGGCTCAGCAATGGCAACCAGAAAGTCCTGGGCGTATTTGTAAACTGGAGAAAACGCTTCCAAAAATATATGGCCATCAGGAGCCTACAGAAATAAAAACAAATGCTGAAGGCACAACAGTGTTATTAGCTGAACTGAATCTCATAATGAAGTTGTAGAAAAAGAATAAACATGTAACTTTTGTCTTATGAAAATGGTCCAGGCATTGATTTGTCCATGTTCCTTCCATGGCACTATGAATAAACCACACCCAGACTGATAAAAATTTTTCCAGACTAACACTGGAGTATTCCTTCTTTTTTAATGCTGAGTTTAATTGCGTGAGTAGAGGCGAGCTTCCAGTCCCATTCCCCTGGAACAACAAAACCTCTTGCTCATTTTATGCAAAATTAATAAACGAATGAATTAATGAATGAATGAAAGAAAGACAGCACTTCGGTGTCACAGCAGCCGGTGACAGGCACCCTGCAGAAGCTGGCTGGGAAACCACCTCTTCCCTAGATGCTGCACCACTGGCCAGACCTTGGGCAAGCTCACTAATGTCCCTTTCAAAGGGCAGAAAAAACAAATTGCACCAGTTACAGAAGATGAGGCCAGCCTGTCTTAAAGCTTTTTCATTCCAACGTAAAAACCCTGCTGCTGTGTCACTGCAGTGACAAATCCCTCTCGTGTCTCAGCCAACGCGCTCCTCTACAGCCCTCCCCGAGACGCCTGGCTGAAGTGCTGCTGTGCCCTGCCCGGTCCGCAGCACAGCCGCGACACCGGGGACCCCGCCTGAAGGCTGCCGGGGCTGCAGCAATTCCCTGGGCATTGCCGGGGCTCCCGTCCCGGCTGTCCCCGATCACGGCGCTGCAGGGGACGGGCCCGCCCCGAACCGCATCAAACCCCGCTCCCAGGCGCGCCCGAGGCTCTCTCCACCCGCACGCTCCCGGCCTGAGCGCGCAGCAGTGCCAGGAACACCC